AATACTTCTAAGGTGTTAGAAGGGCCTCACAATTGCATGGCTTGCTGGAACTGCCCTTCCGAATTTATTTTTTTTCTTTTTGACTAAAGTAGGATTTGTTTGTCATTTTGCCTTATAGTTGATCTTAGTCTGAGCAGAAGCAGTTGCCACCATGTGTTTTGTGATTGTTGTTTTGAGTGCTGTAAAAACCATCTTCAGGGGCAGAGCCAGGGTGTAGCTGAACTTGCAGAAACATCCTGGGTTCACGCTCTCAACTCTGCTGCTTTCAAAATTTGCTTGTTCTTTATATTTCTCCAAATCATCCTCAAGCAGAATTGCACTTGGTTGTCACAGCCTCACAGCTTGTCAACTAACCAGCTGAAAGAGCACCTAGGAAAATAGTTTCGTGCCAGCTGGGTTAAACTCCAAGAAAGCAGCACAAACCACATTTGTGCATTTCACAAAAACATGTTGCTCTCCTCCTTGTGTGTGTACCTAACTGCTCTCAGCTTAACACCCAGAAGTACAGCTCCAACTTTTTACTTGAGGAGTAGTGATGGTGGGTGGAGAAATCACCCTCCCTCCATGCCTCATTCCAGTTGTTGCCCTTGGAGCTCAGTATCTCTCAGCAGAAGCATTGTACTGGGAGTGCCCAGAGCAAGCCTGGCTTCCCTTCTGCCAGCCTGGCTTCCAGGCTTGTAGCACCTGAGAGCAGTAGGGGCAGGACTAGGAATGTCTTTAACTGCCTCAGCAAATCTTTACAAAGCTTATCTGTCAGGACTGCAAGCGCTTCTTGCAGTGTCTGATCTCCCTTGTTAGGGCTCAGGGCTAGATTGTAAGATCAGCGTCGTGGTTGTGGTGCTCAGGACAGACAGAGGTCATTGTCACTAAATGTCACAGGCTTGAAACGTATTTTGACAGGACTATGCCATGGGTAAAATCCTCCAGGATATCGCTCCATCTTCCAGGGACAGTGGAGATTCCTGAACCCCCAACAGCAGCCCCACGAAGCTGCCTTCAAGCCGGTCAGTTTGCTCCTGGAAGAAACCTGCAGTCAAATATGCTGCAGGCAAAAGCCGTTTTGGGGGGGCAGAGAGAAAGCAGCGAGCCACCCTCATGCTGCCAGCAGCCCTGGGGAAGGGCAGGGTTTGGGAACTCTGGTTTGGAAAATTCCCTTTGCCAGCGTTAGGGAAAACAAAATGATGCTTCTCAAGCAAAGCCATTTTCACAGAAGTGAGGGGAAGGTCTGAGCCAGACAAACCGTGCGGAAATACAGCTAAGCCAGAAACATGCTTGTTTTGGAAGGGGTGGGATGGGGGAAAGTACTTTTTTCATATAAACACCCAAGATAAACCCTTTAAACTGTTTGTGAATTCAGTAGTTTGATTGCAGAGGCTTTAAGGGTACTCCAAGTCTTGAAGTCAGGGCAGTCTGGAGGCAGAGATGCCGTAAAGTCTGGAGAGGTGAGGGCAGGTGGGCAGCACAGGTATGTGTGAGCCTGGCTGCAGTGGGATGCTGCTGGATTTCACAGCCATGGATGTGGAGAGTGCAGCAGCACTGTTGGCAGAGCTGGGCTGTAGGGTTCAGTTTCTGCTGTGCTATTAATCATAAGAAATCTTAAATGCATGATTTTTTTTTTTTTTTTTTTTTTGCTGCTGACTGAGCTGGAAGCAGAATGAGATGAGAAACTAGAGTCAAAGTGATGCTCATATTAAGAGCTTTTCTTATTTAGCCAGCAAAATGCTTCAATATAAATTCTAAGAGCTTTTCCTGAGGCTTGAGTGCTGCTCTGAAGGAGGGAAAAGAGATTTTTCCTCGTTTGATGTGTAAGCACTCATTGTCTTGTGCAAATTATGACAAGCAACAGATTTAGCACCACAGTGATGTTTAGTGATGCCAGTCCTGGCTCGACACAGCAAGTTGCTGGGCTCCAAGCCCTAAAACTTATCCCTCACTCAAAAGCAGAGACTTTCAGGATTTCTTTATTTTACTTTAGACATAGTGAGCCTGCCCCTCTGAAGACTGCCTCTGCAAACAGAGGCATTAGAAAGTCTTTTGCCAGGAACCATCTAATCAATGGTTCAGTTCTGTTATATGGGGCTTTTGGGGGAAAAATGATGATTTCACAAAAGCCTTAAATAAAAATCGCAGCAGCTGATGAGAGTTACCTCTGTAAGCCAGGGCCTGTTATCTCAGCTGCTCACAACCTGGTGTCAGAGTTTTTAGAGTCCTACAGTAAAACTTCCTTGTCCCAGCAGGATGCTCTGAGGTTTGTTTTATAAAACTCACAAGCACCTTATTATGCTTCTGCTACAAATAGATGAGCATCACAGATACAGTTGCTGTGCTCATCAGCAGCACAGCCTCAACAGAGGCAATTATCTGACAAGGTCTACCCCAAAACTATGATGCTGTCCCTAACTGGAAGTATTTCCAAATTTCAGCTGCTAGCAGTCCTCCTGGTTTTAAGAAAAAGATCTCTTTATTTATGCCAAGGTCACTAGTTACGGCTGAACGTGAGCCGCAAGAATTGGTGCAACTGGTCAGGTTTTGCTTTTGGAGAGTTATGACTTGTTTAAGTGGATCCTGTCCAATTAAGATCTCTGCCTGCAGTAAGAAATTAACACCATTTAAATCCAGGGATTTACACGGGTGTAAAAATATTGCAGGAAGATCAGAAATGTGAAGTCTCGGGAATTTTTTTGAGAGCTGTTCTCAATTCCTTTATTTCAGTTACAAGAAGAGTCCTTTGGAAGCCTATTTTTATGGTGCATGTTGCTCTCAGACTTTGACGTTTGAATGAGAAACTATGATGTGTTGCAGTATTTCAAATTATTTATATTTCATCCACTAGAAAGGTGAAATTGTTTCCTTAGACATTCGGTAATCTCACGTGAGGAACAAAACTTGATTTATAACAGGTTGGTTATTATCTTACGTGATTTTGGACCTTTATATATCTAAAAGATTTAGGGATATATAAAAAAAAAAGATTGAATGATCTTGCATGGATCATTTATTCATAACCCCCCAGGTATGTAATTCATTTAGTACCAAATATATATAAACCCAATCTCTTTATATAGAGTGAGCCTGTTTTCCTAGAATGTGAGATACACAGAGTCAGAGATTCGTTATTCATCTTGCTGATTTAAAGTGTTTCTGAATAAGGAATTAAAGCATAAAATCATAACGCAGAACAGCTTCAGGAGAGGGGGGCGGATATTTCGTTGTGATTTTATTTTTGATGATGTTTATTGCCAGTGGTGATAAGGGGGATGGGATGTTGTAGCACAAACCATTTGCTGTTATTACCTGTTAGTAATGAACAGTGTGTTCCTGTGCTTTGCATAAACACGAGTAGTGATTTGTACCATCCTTAGCAGGTGCTGGGGCTGAGGACCACAATTTTCCTTTTATGTGACAGGGCTGCTCCTGTTTTTTTTCTGTCACCTGCAGGACCCTGAACACAAATCAAGACTACCAGAGTTTTGTTTCATGTTAGGGGTTTTTTTAACTGATACTTTCCCCGTGCTCAAGCTGTGCCTTGCATAGGGCACAAACCCGAGGCCGTGCCAAGCTCTTCCAAACTTCAGATGCATCTGAGGTGAATCTCTCTTTATAAGTAATGAACTAGAGTGTTGAAATTCCTTTCTGACAATGGCTTTCCAAAGTCCAGATTTAACTTTTTTTGTACAGCTTATTTCCCACATAAAGAAGGCCTCATACACCTCCCCACCCCACCATCACCAACCTTCCCAGTATTGGGACAGCTTTGATGAAGTGATAATGTAACAACACCCCACAGTGCCCCTACCAGTAAAAAACAGACTCTGGTATCCTGTATCCTCTTCTTGAGTTCTCTAGGGGAAAATCAGTATTCTTAACTTACAGGTTTTTTGCCCCATTCTTTGTGATGGCACCTGAGCATCTTGTGTAGATCAACGAATTTAGTCTCAGTACTTCTTTGAGTTTGGGATGACTCTCTGTTTGGAGGGACCAACTGAAGGGAAAAGAGAAAATGGTCCAAAGCCCCTGCAAAGCTTCAAGTCCTACTTCCAGCCTCAAACTCATCTCACCCAACAGTTTGCTTGAGAAGAGCAAATGTCTTGTCCTGTTTTTTTTTGTTTGTTTGTTTGTTTCTCCCTGGGAAAACTGGCCAGAATAAGCTATTGAAGAAAATCATTCCATCTCGCTCAGTATAGACTTGGGGAGCAAATCCACTGTCTTGATTTAAAACTCTTTTCCTTCAGAGCAGTGCTGGCACAGGGATCTGCTGGGGATGCCTTTATTCAGGACAGATCAGGACGAGGACAAGCTCACCAGCACTGACACAAGCTCTGTGGCCAGCACAAATGACACTTGAGTTTGCAGGCTGCAGGGATAGATCCATTTCTCCATTAACGAGTTGTGTCAGTTCTGTAATTTTGCTAAAGATTTTGTGTGTGGCTGGCAGGTGAAACCAGGTATGGACTGATGATGTTTTGATGGGGGGAGTAAGGCAGTGAAATGAGGACAAGAGCGAGCAGAAAATGGCCCTGATCTCAAATTCTTGGGTCTGCTTAATACAGCTCCAGAGTGAATTTTGTGGTTTTGTTTGGGTGGGGTTTTTTTTCTCCCGATAGAAGGGAAAATATGGATGATTTGTTGCAATGTTCTTTTCAAAAAACTTCAATATCTCATTTTTAAAAGGTGTTTTATTGTTCCCAGATTTGTTTCACTTCCACACATACACAAGCCATTCAGAACAGGAGTTTTCACCTGGCAAGGAAACGCATGGGTCTCTCCTCGCATCTTCTCTCAGGACAGAATTACATGAAAAATTATACAAAATTAGGTACCAGTTAAACAGGGAAACTTGGAAAATAGAAAAATTGAGAAGCTAAAGCTGATAATGTTAAAACCCAGGGCCAAATCTCCCCTTCATGCCACACCATTAAGTGGTGCACAATAAATTGCACCACTCTTGTGCTATATGACTTCATGGGAACCAGAGGCTTCTGAGGCCAGTGTTGGGAAGGGATGGATGGGAGACATGCTGTTGGTTGGAGCTATCCCAATCTGTTCAGGGATAACAGGGTTTCTGTTCCTGGCTGGTAAATGTACAAATTTTTTTGCATCAGATTGAGCAGCAGCAGCTGAATAAGGAGTGGTCTGCTTTCTGGGCTAGTCTGTGATGGGCAGAGACCTACATTGCCTGGTCTCAAAGCAATGCAGGGAGTGGAAAAACCTGGACTTCTCACAGACAGCATCAGCTAAAGCTAAGGGGAATCTTGTGTCCTCTCTGTGAGGCTGGATCTCAGAAGGACACAGCCCCTGCAGTCTGAGAGGTCTGCAGGCTTGGGATGAAAAATAGGCACAGCAGCCATGAGTCTTCCATAGTGAAAATATAAGTGAGAGGTAAAAAGCCATAGGAGAATTTTGGGACTGAGGTAGCAATGCCAGGATTGCGGAGGCAGAAGGAGGGGGAACCCCAGCAGGCTCTGGCACAGGGCGTGGCGGGGAGACCTCGCAGCCTGGAGCTGTGAAATGTGGGCAGCTGGGAGAGAGCGAGTCTTGTGATGCTGGGGATGAGAGAGTCACTGATGCACGGCCCCTCAGGGCCACTGAAGGAAACCACTTGCCCTAGGAGGTACCAGCCCAGGGCACTGCATGGCAGCACCCACCCCCCTGTGCTGAGCAAATGCTGCAGGATCAGCCCACAGGCTCTTGCCAGTGGTATTTTTCTCTCACCTATTGTTTTCCTGCACCTTTCCTCAGCTCCCATCTCCTTTCTCCACTGCTCCCAACTCTTCAGTGATCTCTAATGCACTAAAGCAGGATGAGGCATCCCCTTTCTTCCAGGATGGGCCCTACATTACCCTCCCAGCTTATTGACTGCTCAAGCCCATTCTCTTCCACTAAGCAGGAGTTCGAACTTTGCTCTCATCCTCCTCCTGGCTGCGGCTGTTCCCAAGGCCCTCCACCCACCCAGAGACATAAAAGATGCATTTGCAGATTTTGAAAATTAAAACCATCTATACAGCCAGTGGGAAGGGATCAGCTTATTTGGTTGCTTAATGAAATATAAAGATTATTTTAACCAGTGTAAGCACTATTCGACAGCTTGTGAAACACAGCAGTGGCTTGATGAATGGCTTTCTCCATTAAAAAAAATTGCTGCATGATGTCTTTTAAATATTTAATTTATTGGGGTTGGAGTGAGCTCGGAGCTGACAGTTAAACAGGAGCTGTTTGTGGTCTCAGTTAACTTTGCTTACTAGGCTGAACAGTCTCGCTCAGTAAATTCCCTCATTTTTTATACTGAATCTGGGATGATACATTTGCTGCACAAGTGAGTAGGAAGTTCTGCCTGTTGTCTGCACTGCATTGTACCAGGCAGTTACCACCAAAGCTGTGATGGGCACTGACTCCTGTCCTGAGTCCATCCTAATGAAGTCCTTTTTCTTTTCTTTTTTTTTTTTTTTTTTGGTGCACTTTCTTCTAGGTCACCCAGAGGAGTTTGTTCAGAGGCATGTATACACATAAAATCATCTTTTAGCAATCAAATAAGTTGAAATATTCCTGGAGAAAGTGTTTCAGTGGAAACACTGGGCTCCAGACACAACACCATTGGCAGTGTCCTTGGAAGACTGAATAGTATGTGAAAATTCCCCTCCTCTCCCTCTTCATTTTTCCTTTAATGTGCCAGCTTGCTACACAACTGACGGCATGCAAGGGGGATTAGAAAAGAAAAACAGGCGTTTCTGTGAGTTGGGAGTCAAAGACACTTGGCCTCCCACGTATCTTCTGGCAAGGCTGAGCCCCGGTGTGGATTCTCCTGCATCTATTAAGGACAGAGGTCTGGCAGCAGCCCAGGGCAGTTAATAGGTTCTGTGTCCTCGAATGGTTTTCACGAAACACGCAGGAACTTAATAAGCTTTGAGACCTCCACCCCGCTGGCCAAAGCTGGTGGAACCAGCCAGCTGGTTCACAAGTTAGGGGGTGGGAGGGGAGGAGGCAAAACAAAGTTGCAAATCTCTGTTTTGCTGCTTGTGTTGGCCAGAAAAGCCCATCCTGCTCCTCTGTGAGAAGCAGGGAACAACTTTCCACCCGGCTGTGGCAGACTCACTGACGAGGGGGACTGGCTGAGCACTGCTGCCCTCTGAGCCAGCTCGGTGTGTGCTGGCACTGCCCTGCTGCAGGCTGGGGTGGGATGATGCTCTCTGGAGGGGTGAGGCTGTGCCACAGATGTCACGGAAACCACCCAGAATTGTGTCCGAGTCAGAGACCTGCAAGTATTCCCCAGGTGATGGGAGATGTCCTCTGTGGCCACGTTAAGGGGACATGTCACTGGGACACGCTTCTGTCCCTTAGGACAGGCCACCAGCAGCAAAGCTGTGCAGTCCAGGAAAGCAACATCACAGCTATAATTTCACTGTGAACCCAGGGTGGTTTGTGGGGAAAATAAATACAAATGCCAAAAATCTGTTGGCGGGTAAAGTCCCTCACCTTGATCAGAGAACCAGCAAATAATTTTGGCATTGCTTAGGTCTTCCCTAAGCTGTGTTAGAGCAGAGCTATGGCATTTTTGTGTTAGGTCGGCATCTGAATAAAAAAATGTCCATTTTCACAGCTTAGGGTAAGGGGAGTGAATCCAGAGTGGGTGAATAGGTAGACACAAAGCAGAGGAAGGGCATCAGGGTGTGTATTACATCTTTGCGGTGTCACCACATCTGGATCTGTCACCCTCCATCATCTCAGTGCTGAAATGATGGAGTGGTGAAGCACAAGGGACTTGGGGAAACAGGAATGAGGTTGAATGCTAGATTCCCAAATTAGGGGTTTATAGTTACTGCAGCCTCTTTGAGAAGACAACCCCAAAAGCAGAACTCACCCTGATTCCCCAAAATCCCTCAGTCAAAAAAACCCCCAAACATCCCAGAGCAACAGTGGTCATCCCTGAGCTGGCAGAGCATTTTACCCAACTCCAGCTGCATGACTTCCCTCCTCCAAGAGAGATGCTTGTGAGGGTGAAGTCAAAAGATGCCCCAGGTCACTGCCAGACCCTATAGTAAAAAATTCAACTGCTTTTCCAAGCAGCTACAGCTTGGTCTCTGGATGTTAAACAGGGTCACTCCAAGTTTGTGCTTCCTACATCAAGATGGAGAGAATGGGAGTTCAGAGCAGGAGGGATAATGGGACCAATTCATTTCCATCTCTCCCTCTTCACCCTGAGTCTCTCCTCCACGGTATAAATCATGGGCAAAAATGAAGGTGTTTTCTCAGTACAGAAGATACAACAGATAATTGTTCTTCCAGATTTTTGCTGTTTAACGCATCAGGTTTCTCCTGAAACCCAACCATGGGTGTTGAACCACCTCCCCCCAGCATTTAAATTGTTTTCTAAGAGGTTGCCTAGAAAAGACGTCTGCTTTCCTTAAGTTAGTCCAGCTGCCCCTCTTTCTCTGAACGTTCATTCATTGCACTGACTTTCCAGATGATGACTTGCTGATGTAAACGGCGGTTTAAAAAATTTATTTTGTGGCTAATGTTTCACAACTTCCTCTCTGATGTCTTACAAACTGCAGAAACGGCATCCTGGAGGCCCTCAGTCATTTACAGCAGGGATGAATGAAGCATCGCTCGGCTTTTGAGATCAATATTAGCTCAGTTTTACAGATGGTCTGTAAGGAAAAAGAGCTTGAAGTTTCATGCAGAGCCCACACTAGAAAAAAAAAAAAAGCCATTAGTTTTCTGAAATAATTTCCTTGCTATTGAGCTATGAAATGTCAGTATTTATTGCAAACCTTATTCCCTCTTTAACCATAACATTTTTGGTGTGCTATTACGCTACAGATTTATTTTCTTTTACTCCACATGCTTTTTTTTTTCTTTTTCTTTTCTGTATCATTTGTGTTTTCTTAAGAAGAACCTTAAGAAAAATGAATGGGAACAAATTACGCATGAGTGGGTTCAGATAGGAAAGATTATTTGATATTACAGCAATGGGATTATGAAACAGTCCACTGTAAGCAATTATAGGCACAAAATCCCAGCCAGTCCTGGGATAGAGCTAGGTCAATTCATTAGAAGTCACAGTAACATGCTGAATTTTATTGTGGTGTGTGAAAAAACTTTCCCATCTTTTGATAAGCATATCTTGAGTGAGATTTAGTTTGGTGCCGGGCTTTAAGCTCGGAAGCCAGACTAGTGTTGGTATAGGAATTGATTCCCGTTCCAGAACCTGTTGGAGTTAAGAGCTTGGACATGAGCTTTGCATGCAGCAGCTTAATTTTGAGCTCAGCATTTCCAAGGCTCTGCTGAGACACCGGGATGCTGGGACAGCACATCCCTAAGTCCCTTTCTCCTCTGGCTGATGTTTTTCAGGTTTATGTCACCATGCAGCACTATGGAGTGAACGGCTACTCCCTGCACGCCATGAACTCGCTGAGTGCCATGTACAACCTGCACCAGCAGGCAGCTCAGCAAGCCCAGCACGCCCCCGACTACCGGCCCTCGGTGCACGCCCTCACCCTGGCAGAGAGACTGGCTGGTAAGAACAACTCATGGCTTTTGCTGCTCCCTGGGGGGGGGAAAAAAAAAAAGAAACAAACCAGAGCCACAAAACCCTTGTTGCTTGCATTGAGGGAAACTCTTCTTTGTGAGTTGGCGTGTGACAGACAGCCGGTACTGTGTGCTCCTCTGCACTGGCCATGTGGCCAAGCTCTGCAGGGGACACTTGCCCTGCAGTGCTGGCTGTCAGAGGGCCACTGCACCTTGCTGCAGACCGGCCTCCGGCGGCTGGGAGGCTCAGGGGTGAGGTGGGTGCAGCCCCACTATATGGGACCGAAAAGAGAGAATTAAAAAGACACTGAAATATGTTTTAAAAAAGGGGACAGAAAATAGCAGAGAATTTTACTTTCTTGTTAGCAAATAAGAGCACAACAAACATGACCAAGCAGTGAATTGGACTCCCCCACCAAGGGGTCCAGATCTTGCATCCCCTGACAGCCATCTCCTGCCATCCCAGGCCATAGCTTGTTTTTCCATGTTGTCCCTTCAAGCAGGTATTTTTCACTTCTGTCCTACAAACCACTCTTTCTCTCTGACAGTCTTCATTTGGATCTTCTTTGGGTTTAACCTTGATCTATTTTTTCCTGGGGAATCCTAGACCTTGGCTAGGGTGACATTTTCATGCAGGTCCTGCTGCCTTCCATAAAAGAGCCTTTTTAGGCTCCAATCAAATCTGTGTGACTTTGCCCACACTGTGTTATTTACACAGCACTGTCGATGGTGGGACAGTGGGACAGAAGCTGCTGGTCCAGAGCATCTGAGCTGGTTTTCTGTGTTCAGCCATAATTGTAACTGCACTGCATCAATGCTTTCTTTAGAAGGAAGTGCAAAGTCCAAGTAGTATTTTATGATTTGGAAGGGGGAATTGTTCAAAAATAATAGATGGAGACCCGAGAATATTTGGTATGGTAGGGCACATGTATCTGCTCTAAATTTCAACCTGTCACAAAACATCCAGACCTGGCTGAGATCATCAGAGGCTCCTGCAGTGCAAGTGAGCAGCAGCTGCAACATCACTGTTTTGGTCAGGACTTGGATGCAGTGAGGTAGAGCAGACCTGACAACCAGGACACGGAAGCCAGAGCAAAAAGTTAGTATAGATGTGATTCTAGAAACCACCTCAGAATGGAATAATCTTCCCTGTCTGACTGAAAATATGCCTCTGTTCCAAGATAGCTTTCTAGTTGTCTGATATCAAACGGAAAAGAAAAATGTAGGAAAAAAAAAAAAGATGTAGAGTGAATCCTAGCCTAGAGTAGGTGAAAAAAATTATCTATCCACAAAACTTGTGGCCTAAATTTAACATATAAGGGCCTAAGCCAAAATAAGGATGCACAAGTTTCAGGAAAGTCCTCCCAGGTGAGTAGTCCACAAAGGCATGATGATAAAGGTCTCAGACTCTTCGGATCAGTATGTCTGACAGCTGACTGTCAAATCTTCATGTCAGCAGTGTTCCCTTATCCAGCTGTCAGTAGTGACCTCCTGAGACCACTGATTCTGCAGACCACTCCATGGCTGTGGGATCTCTGGGGCAGCATAGGGGAGGGAAGGGAGTCACTGTCCTCATCAATAAACAACCAAAGAGGAATTAAGGAGGCCTGGACTCTAATGCTGGCTCTACTGCTGGGCTGCAGAATGATGACGGGTGGGCACTTTCCTTGTCCTGGTCGTCCATCCCTTTGTTCACTCACTTTTTCAGTATGTAGGTGGTCAGATGGGAGCAGAAGGCCCTGAACTCTGCAATGTGCCTTGCAGACCACGGGTCTCAAGGTGCCCCTTTCCTGCTGCAAGGATCCCTTGAAAGAATTTTGTGATCACCTGTACCTTTTAGGGTAGAGCATGGAGGACTTAATGTCTTTGACCCTAACTAGGATAAAGCACAGGAAGATAAAAAAATGAATAAAAAAATCTATTCTCATATTCTTGACTGGGAGATTCAATTGGTTTCCTGACCTCTTATCTTTAAAATTAATAACCCATCTGGAAGACTTTCCAAATTAAATCCCACAGTCCCCTTGTCTGCTTATCATAGGCAGGGTAGGCATTATATACCTATGAGCTGTTTCCTTTGCAGTTGCCTCACATTCTGTTACTTCTGAATATCTTTCAGTGCAGGTTATAGATCTCATTTGCCTTCTAGGGACAGTCAGAATAAAGCAGCATAAAAGCAAATGACCTTAAGTCAGAAAACAGAGGTTTCTGATTGTAACTGCAGAGCCTCACCTGCAATTTATATTCTCCTTCTCGCACAAAGCCTGAAAACATAGTTAAAACATTTAAATAATTGCTGGTTGGCTCTCGTTGGAGTGGCCAAACTTAATGCATGAGCTGCTGCCTCTGGGGAGCTGGTAAGTCTAACCTCTACTCTAGAAATTCGGGAATATTCCAGCCTGCAGGTAGGGTGTTTAACCAGTGCCCTTTCTCCTGTTTTCATGCACTTGAAACACAAATGTTAGCTTTTCAAAATGTTTTGGGGCAGCTTCAATTTCGTTTCTTGTCTTGCAACATCCCCTCTCCTTGCCTGGCTGCACTGTGAGCTGTGCCTGGATGCATCAAGGATGGTCCCTTTGCCTCCAAAAGGGGCAGCTACCACCGGCGTTTGAACTCCCCGAGCTGCTCTGATACCTCGAGCACAAAAGTCCCTTGTATGCAACCAACACTGTATTGTTGAAGACCTTTAGCCTGATCACATCTTTGCCAGGTTGCCAAAACCACACGGCTTTGGCAATCCCCCAGAAAGGCACTGCAAATGCTGACCTAGAATGAAACAGCTGGAAATTTTGGAAGAGGAATGTTTGAGTGGTGCAAAGCTGATTTGCTACGCTCGTTAGCCAGCATATCTGGAACCTGGCTGTGTGGTGCTGGGGCTGGCCTGACAGCAGGTTTTGTTTTATTGTTTAGATTCATGTCACGATGCTCGTGACAAAAGCACAAGTAAACAGCAGCCAGAGCCTTCATCTGGCCCTGCGTGTGATAATGCCAACTTTTCTCCCTGTTTGGTTGTTTTCTTGTGTGCTCATTCCTCTCTTCTACTGGAAGTCACATTCTTAACTGAATTAAAAATGATACCAGACACTGCTCTTTGTGCATTTCCTTTTTGAGAGCAAACCTCTCGCCAGACTGTTTCATTCCAAGGCTGTAACACAGCATGTCCCAACTTGCATAATAAAGGGTGGGTTTTTTTCATTTTCAAGTAACTTATTTTCATTGATTTAAGATCTTTCTACTCCCACTAACTGTTGTGCAATAATAACGCCTCTGGTAAAATAATAAGCCCTTTACTCTTGGCCTCAGATTTTCCCCAGTCTGAATTTCTTCTCTGCCCTCAATTTTCCAAGCACAGTTTGCAAAGTCAGGCCTTGTGAGTAGATGCTCTACTGAGAAGAGCTCAGCACATGAGCTCTGGGCTTGCAGTCAGTGGGGCTGGACGTGGTTCTGGCTGTTGTTTCCACCCCAGATGCTGGAGAGTGTCTGTGCTCAGCAAAGCTCTCAAGCTAAATGAACATAAGCACATGAGCTTAAATGCTTTGCTGAACTGGAGACCAGAACAGCTGTCCAGTATCATGCCTTGAATACTACAGTGAGCTACATGTGAGTCACTAAAGAAGTACAATGGGGGATCTTCCCACATTGTTTTTAATTGTGTTTCTTAATGAAAGATGCTTAGACCATGGTAGGGTGGGAGCATCTGCATGTCCTGGCCCACTGATGTTGGAGCAGATTGACTTATTTCAACCAAATTTAGCACCAGAGTCTCAGCACTTTCCACAGCTGTCATAGAAAGAGGTTCCCTCTCCAGAACAGACTTCCAGAATCACAGACTCATAAAATGGTTTGGGTCGGAAGGGACCTCAAACACCATCTAGTTCCAACCCCCCTGCCATGGTTTTGCCTCCTCAGACACCTCAATTATCCAGCAAAGCGTGTGTATGTGTCTTTTTAGCTCTAAAGCAAGAAAAAAACCATTTTGTAGTTTCGTCTGATGTTAGCCAGTGCTTTATTCAACTGTCAGCATACAAATTCCAATAATTAAATCGGCCACTTTTCTTGTCTTCCAACGGCTGTACATTTCAAGACATCATTTTGGAGGCACGTTATGGATCCCAGCACCGCAAACAAAGGCGAAGTCGCACGGCTTTCACTGCCCAGCAGCTGGAGGCACTGGAGAAGACCTTCCAGAAGACTCACTACCCAGATGTGGTGATGAGAGAGCGGCTGGCTATGTGCACAAACCTACCTGAAGCCAGAGTCCAGGTACTGCTATTTCGTGGGTTTGTGAGTGGGGATGTTTAAAAGAATATAGTGGGTTTCCCAGAGGGTTGACAGCTCCCTTGACCTTTCAGGGTTCTTCCAGTGCAACCAAAGATTTTGGGCAGTAAAGCTGTCGAAGGTGGGGGCAGGGAGGCTAAAATAATCCAAATTCATACGTCTGTTAAAGAAACTTTTAATCCACATACACATTTTTTAAATTTAGGGTTGTCTGAAGTGTACACTGGTTTTCATTTGTTCTTTCACATTTCTTTGGGGGAAATTTTAGAAACAGCAATAGAAGTCTACTAATTTATTTGCAAGGCTTTTCTGGCTTTCTCAGAAGAGTAGAGACCCAAGTAATTCCAGCTGCTCTTTTCCACCAGTGTCAATATTTGTAACATCTCAGGCCAAGGTTTGGGTTTGGTTTTCGGTTTTTGTTTGGTTTTATTTTTTTTTAGTTTCAACTAGTGCAATGTGCTAGTTCATAACCTGCTGGTGGGGAGGTTCTTGCATTGCTGGGCTTTAAAAGACAAATAGCAAGTTCTTCACTGTAAAGAGAAAAAGAATTAAAAAAAAAATAGTTCTTTTACATAAGTATCAAGATATTTTGATCTAAAAAATGTTTATTTCCTTATCTAACTAACCAAACAACACTAACAAGATCTGCAAATATATTTCTTCTAATCCATGTCTACCGATTTAGGCTGAAAAATGTAAGGATTCTCTCCTCCTTCCCTAAATTCAGTTCCCAGATAACAGCCTACACCTGTGACTTACTTTAAGTGTTGGCACCACTCATAACCAAATGTTTTTAGAAACTAACAGAGTGTAAGCCAATGCAATGTCATCAAACATTACAGCTTCTGTTTGGGTGCAACTGCCTAACAAATTTAGGAAGAAAAAAAAACAAAACCAAAAAACCCACCAGCAATGGAGTGTCTTAAAGAATCAACATAGAGGCTGGATTTTTTTTTTTAAATACGTTTGATGTGTTACTGGTAGATGCACTGAAAACAGTAGAGCTCTAAGGTCCAGCAAAGTGGAATGACCTTCGGGCACAGCGGGCTTGCAGTACCTCATTACTTGGGGTTCCCGAGCTCCCAGGCTGAATGATGCTGAATTTGGCACTAAGCAGGATTCTCACTGGTTTTTCTCACTTGCTGTCTGTGGCACTGAAGGTGTGGTTCAAGAACCGGAGAGCCAAGTTCCGGAAGAAGCAGCGGAGCCTGCAGAAAGAGCAGCTGCAGAAGCAGAAGGACTGTGAAGGGAACCACAGTGAGGGCAAGACGGAGCCGCCTGTGCTGGAGACCCAGGCCACCACCCCAGACACCGAGAAGGTCCAGAGCCTCCCCAGCGAGGTTGGCACAGACCTCAACCTGACCCTGTCAGAGCAGTCGGCCAGCGAGTCGGCACCAGAGGACCAGACCGACAGAGAGGAGGAGTTTAAGAGCACCTTGGATGAGGCTAAAGTGGACAAGAGCCCTGGTGTGGACAGCAAGGCTTTGAACTGCAAGAGAGCGAGCCCAAAAGCAGGTGAGGGGCAGCATCTTCCTGTGGGTTGGTGTCAGGACCTGGTGTTTCCAAGGGGGTGTTGGTGGTTGGGTATAGTCCCACATTCCCTGTGGTGTGGGTGCTCACAGGTAGGCTGCCCACATTTGTCTTCTTGTCCTCAGCACTAAACAGAACCCACAGAGGGTATGATGTCTATTGCAGAAAGAGCAAAGACCTTCTGCTTAGGTGAGATCTTGGGGAGAACAATGTCCAGCAGCATCAGGAAAGCCAGAGCAAAGAGCTCAGCCCCATTTCTATACTGTAAGGTGCCAAGTATGGAACAGACACACGTTTGGCTGTCATGAGCTGTCACAACCCCTCTCGCTTGCCCACCAGTGCAAGAGGGAAGCCCATGCTGCTGTCCCAGCTGTAATGGGGTGCAAATCAGCACCTGCATCCAGCCTGTAGGAATAACCCCCATCCCCTCTGTCTCCTGCTACAGAGTCCCCTATCAGCGCGACTGTGACGCCTTCATCCAGCAGTGGCCTGGCTCAGACTCACTCCTACTCCTCCTCACCCCTGAGCCTCTTCCGCCTGCAGGAGCAATTCCGCCAGCACATGGCAGCCACCAACAACCTGGTCCATTACTCCTCCTTTGAAATGGGGACACCGTCTGCCATGCCCTACTTGGGCATGAACGTCAACATGGCGCCACTGAGCTCTCTGCACTGTCAGTCCTATTACCAGTCGCTCTCCCACGCTCAGCAGGTCTGGTCCTCACCCATCCTGCAGGCCTCCAGCTCCCTTCCAAGCCTGAACAGTAAAACGACGAGTATTGAGAACCTAAGGCTCCGGGCAAAGCAGCACGCCGCGTCCCTCGGGCTCGACACCCTGCCCAACTGACTGCCAGAGGAGCTACCATTGCCCACGAGAAGATGCACCAGAGGTTGGCACTAGACATGTCACTCCTTGAATCCCCACGGACTCCCATCTCTTCCTGGAGTAAGGTGCTCCCTTTCAGGGAAGACTTTGCATTTATTAACGTCTTATTAGCACCACGATTGCATCAGACATTGCTACCGGCCTGGTCTTCGCTAACTGTTTAAGGAGGAAGGGGGAGAGGATTTATGTTCAGACAGATGAGCTGTCCTCTGGACTGCCATGAGTTAAGCCTGAAACGTTCAGGAGGAGCCCCCTCTCCTCATCCCCAAGATAAGGTGCCAACTGTGTTATATTCACCTTTTTTTTGTTGTTGTTGCATTCTTTGGGGAAAGAAAGAGCCCTGCTTTGTCTTGTATATAGTTTATAATGTTGACAGCACCCATCACTCGTGTGTTACTGTCAGTGTTACAGAACTGTGACCTCTTTTGCTTTTATTTCCCCTTCCTTCTCAATTTTAGTAGCTAGTATCAAAGTTACAATCAGCCACCCTCCCAGCCTCAGCTGGTAGCTAGTTGCTCTTCTTGGGTCAGCATCCTAAAGGTGTTTCTGAGGAAGAGAAATGATTGTGCACTTCACCACTCCACTTCTCCCTTCTCTGCTAAAGCTAATTTTATAACAGCTGGGAAATGATCTGAAGGTGAATTTCCTGTTTAAGCACTTCCTATAAGGCAAGCATTTTTCATTTACTTTTTAATAGCACTTGTTTAAAGAGGACAACATGTTGGCTAAATGCTGCTGGCTGGGAGAAAATAAAGGCCAAATTCACAGGATTATTTTTGATCTATATTGTTTCCTCACTGATCTGCAGTGAAGTGTAAACTCTATTCACAAATTTCGGGGTTTTCTTTTTGGAGAGCATTTAGGTCTAACTTTGACAATAGAGAATAATAAAAACTTTGTATGAACTCCTGGTGTGTTCATACGCCATGAATTACATGGATCTTTGACAAAAACTTGATTAACACAAGCTGCGTCTAGAAAAAAAATCTCTGATCACCAAGTTCTAACCTCAAGCCCTCAGTTCAAAACTGGTTATCAAGTGAGAATGTAACAAGTGAAAAATGCTGAACTGCTGGAGGCAGAGCAGGTGTAAGCAGGGGTATTATATTCTCTCTGGACCTGAGGGGGGATAGATGAACTTGCCAAAAATGCAGGGTTTGCAAGTAACCAAAATTCACCAGCTTCAAAATTACTGCATTGAACAGTTTCGATCTTACTGAAATGGCCCATCATTCACCCTTTGGTGATTTTCCTGGTTTTTTTTACCTTAAATCACCTTTTTTTTTTTTTTTTTTTCCAAACCAAATAAATCTTTTGGACCCACTGCTATTGTCCTGAGCATTAGGGAGGGATGATATCCAGATCTAATCTCCAATATTGCCTAGGACCAAAAAATCCAGACAGACTCCAGGGTAGGTGATAAGTTTGTATCCCAAGAGTGTCGACTGGGTCTGTCACTGACAGACTGGGCAGAGCTGTGCTGTCCATGCAAATGATTTAACCTGAAGTGTAGACCCATAGCCTCTGGCTCCTCTTGCTCCCACCTTGCTTCATACCCGGGCAGCAGCCAGGGGTCAAATTACCTCTTTAAAACATGGAGGGAAAGAATGTTTTCAGCTACACTAATGCCTCTTGAAAAAGCATTTAACTCCTGCAAATAGAGGTGTAAGAAAAGCCAAGTTTGATGGGAAATATTTTTTTATCCCTCATAAAGTTGTAGCAAGAGCAGACCTCAGGAGGGGGCAGCTCATCAGCTGCATCAACTCCCAAGGAAAGTGGAGCATCTTCCTTAAATATTTCTGTTGTGCCAGACACTTCAGTTTGGGGCTTTTCTCTCATGCTTCAGTTTTCCTGGCTGTGTCAAATCAGCCCCTGTGACCGGCAGAATTCTCCACTTTGCCAAAACCAAATGTATTTGTAGGAAGCAGATTTTTGGCTGCCGCTTTCAAAGGAGCCTGAATAAATTAAAACCACCAAAGCACATTTGCTCTGTCCAAAAACATCCTTTGAAAGTCCCAGCTTTCATTTTTTGTAGCCTGTCACCCAAACCAGGGGCACCCGAACAAAGCTTTAATTTTTCTCCTCCTTCCTCAAAAGGCTCTATTTACCTATATTTTTTCTGTCCCCTGCTAACTCCTGCACCTCTGTGCAGTTGCTTTACCAGAGCAGAGCAAATACAAATTTAATTTAACACCCTTTCTGATGTTGATCAGTGGTGCCAGTGAACAAACGGGGTAATTGGGTGTGAGACCAAATGTGGATTTCAGCTCTCATGAAAGTAATAAAAGATGCCCATGAAACTGCAGCTCATGTCAGGGAATATTTCAGGCAGACAACAGAGGGTGGTAGTTGCTCTTGTACCACTCCAGGTAAGACAGGCATCTCTTCTCTGCCCATGGGGATGGAAAGGATGATGTCAGCTCAGACCAGGGCAGATACAGCCTCACCATAGGCTCACGATGGATACCACAGAATCTGCCATAGGAAGGTCAAAACACGTGGATTTATGGCCTGCTTCTCCAAGGTGAGGACAGGGAGCACAGGAGATAAGCTCGCTTGATCCAGCATTAGATTTGCCATGATCCCCTGGAGGGAGACAAGACCTTCCCCACTGAGGGAAAATTTCCCATGCCACAGTGCAAAAATTCACTTAAACATTCACCATCTTCACACATCTCGACCGACCCTGGTGCCTGACCCTCTTCGTCCCCTGTGTTACTGCTGATATCCTCACAGAGGCTTGGATCAGCTGCTGGGATCTTCCCTCATGGAGCATCTGTCACACCAAAAAAACCATGGACATCAGCTCAGAAAGCAAACTGGGAGAGGAGACACATGAATCTCCACCAGTCCGTAGGGATATCTCTTCAGTGCCATCCTCATTTGCCTTGTGAGATGCAGCAGCTCACTGAGGTACAGCTGGTCCTGAACCAGGGCACGTGAATATTTCTCACCTGGAGAGCTTTTCTCCCATTCTGAATCAGGATGAAAATATCTAAAATTTAAAAATAAACAAAAGAAAAAAAATTATTGCCTCAAATATATATGAGCCCCTGAGGTATTTTATGCAAAGGTTGGGTTTTATCTTCTTATAGTCAAACTTGCATGGCAGTGAGGGGAGTGTGCTGATATTTAAAGCCAAAATTAATTTGCAAATGGAGAAAAAGCAAGAATTTAGGCTTCCATCTTGCTAAAGTTTAATAATTATTTGTCAAAACTGACTTTGTCTTGCATATTGTTTTAGTGCCTCTGAGCTTTTGGGCTATTTTGGACAAAAAAAAATAAAACCCTAGAGAGAAACTTCCCATCCAATTTAATCCTGTATATGTGGTGGAAAGACTGAAGGGAGTGATTCTGCATCATTCCTCTTTGAACTTTGCAAACCTGAAGGTTTCTTCAGGTGGGAAGAACTCCTGTGAATCTCCCAGTTTGCAGTGTGAGGTCTGCTTGTTCCCTGTCCCTCCACCAGCCCCAGCTACTTAGGAAAATGAGGTCAGTGATGGAGTCTCGGAACCAAAATGGATTGAGGTTCCACTCCCCTCACCACCTCCCTCCAGGCAGAGGTCTGACACATTTTAACAAACGTTGCAGTTGGATATAATGCAGTTTCTTCCATCAAAGGCATAAAATTCTTGGAGCATCACCAGACAGAAGAACTATTATAGGGAAGAAAAAGAGATATCTCTCTTCTCTGGATGCTGTGCCAACCTGGTGCCAGGGCAGGGCACCCCTGTGACAGTTTCAGCCACAGGGAGGTAAATGTGAAAAGAGAAGCAGCATTCTGTGTTCCATAATACAGATGATCAAGTTGATTTTTTAATACATGAAAAGAATGCCAAACAAATGCACAGCATAGCAGAGAAGCTGGAAAAATAATATGCCCAGTCCTTTAAAAACAGTGGAGAGACTGGAAAAATTCTCCGTAAGTCCTATTTGCAAACAGGTTATGTATCTGGAGATTTCCTCTGCTGGTCTTTTCCCCTTCCTATGGCTTTTCTTACTTTGCCTCTCCTTGGTGAACCAGCTACAGCTCCAAACCCTGCTTACTGAATTTTTAAAGGTTTTATATACGGTCCTTGTAGGATCAAGGCCCAGGAGAAAACCATTTATAATATTCAGGGTAAGAGTTTGCAGTTAAATTTCTTCCACTCTGCAAGAGAAGTCTGATAGGTATTAATAATAATAATAATAAAAAAAAAATAAAAAAATAAAACAAATTTTAAAAGGCATTTAAACAGTGCAGGAGAAATGCTAAATGCTACCAGTGAGAAAATATCTAGTAATGATGCTGGGAGGCTGAATGGAGACATCTTTTTTCCCTTTTCTTGTCTTTTTTACTTCTTGGCTAACAAAAGGAAATGTCCATGATGGTGAACATGGGAATAAAGAGAGAGATATTTTTTTCTGATATTTCCTCCATGAAAAATCACCATTTGCTGTGTAGGAAACACAAAAAAATGCCCCCAGATATGAAAATAACAGTCAGCAAGCAGATCCCCCCCATGTCTCGTTTCTCATTTAGATATTTCACCATGTGAAGAATTTTAACCAGCTCTAGGTGTGTGTTGTCACTGCAGCCAGCCAAAGAGATGCTCATCTTTGCTGAAGAGACACCAAAGTGGGTGGACATAGAGGAGGGAACTGTAGTTATTTCTGTCTCTGTGTGCCACGTGTGGTAATTCCATTGACATGACAATTTTGAATTACATCAGGACATTTCTGAAGAGTTCATACATAAAGGATTAAATAAACCTCTGTAGAAAAGAAATGCAAATTCAAATCCACCATATTCTATTAGTTTAATTACAGTAGCTATGAGACATAACTCAATTAAGCTTGAAAAAAAGTCAATTACAGAACTTTCCTGCTGGTTTTTATAGGCTGTGTTGATTTTTCTTTTCCTCCCTCCTTATTCCTCCATGTGCCCCTTGCGGATTTTTTATGATCTGTTCTAGAGCAGCGTAATACGTCTCCATTTTTTTTTTCAATTGACTGAAAAACAGCTATTTTTCTGCATAGATCTGCTCTCAGCCCAAATCCACAGTGGAAAGATAAGAAAAGGACAAACCCAAACAAATTTTCAGTGGTGCAGGAACAAACAAACCAAAAAAAAATCCCCCGCTCTGGTGCGCGGCTGCGACTTTCCCACCACGTTACAAAACAGCCCAGTAATGATTAACGTTCCCTGCTTTCCACAGGCTTTGCAGACACTCAGCTTGGTTCCCAGCTGCACAGATGACAGCATCCTCATTGTCCCCGGCTCCCTCGGGCTGCCTGGGGAAGAGATGTGAAAGCTGAGGTGCCTCCTCTGCCTGTGGGTGTCCCCACCAGCGGAGGCTCCCGTTAGTGCCAATGCTGAGCACGGCCTCAGCACCTTGTGCAAAGTCCAGGGCGTGTCCCAGGTCATGCAGTCTGTGTGATTTGTAGAGTAAGACCCAGACACTGCATAAAGTAAGACCCTCATCACTGCCGTGATGCCAGAGTGGGATAACTGCACCAACTTCAGAGGAGCAAAGGACAACATTTAACTCCCAAACAGAGTTGTGAAGAATATACGATTAATCATAAACTAACAAAAACATACAGTTATATTTTTAATAGTCTGGGTTTCAAGCTGGAAGTCCTCTGCAAAATCTCTCTAAAATTAAACCCATATTAACATATTAAACATATTAAACCCAAAGCAAGTTAAATGGTGCACATGGTGCCCTATGAAAGGCCAAAGCCCTTTCTAGCTGCTCTGGCAATTCAGAGGGTCCGTCTCCATACAGCAGAACTTCAGATGTGTCTGTGCGATGGAAAATAAGTTTTTGTTTTATTTTCTCATGCCAGGAGGCAACCAATTT